GTTTATTTTTATGTTTTTCTGCTCATATAATTGCAATATTTATCGGTAATCAATGAAAAATGTGTGTGTGAGTGTGATAAACCCCCTTCGCACTCAATGTTGCACCACAATGAGAATTGAGGATAGTTTCCGTTGGATTTTCATCAAAATCCCACTCGACCCCACGCCGATAGTGCTTTATTCCTTCCTTCCACATCCACTTGGCTGAAAGTTGGCGGAAAGTTGCGAAACGAAGAAAAACGAGCCGAAATCACGACCACAAAGAACTATCCTCAATAGGAAAGAGTGGAAGCAGATAAAGCGAAATAAAAGGAAGGAAAAACGAACTCCCTCGAAGCCATTATTGCAACTTGTAATCTTTTATATCGCTAATTCATCAATTCATTCGGCCTAGTGCGCGCCGCACTTCGATAGTCAATTATTTTCCCACTGCGCCACCGCGTTCTGCACAAACAGCAATACCGTAACAATACTCTTAGCCCGCCTCTGCCTCGTCTTATGTATTATTAAATTGCCAAGCAAGCATTTACAAAAGCGTCTTACGCTTTGCAGAATAGATGGAAACGGATCCCAAGCAGCGCGCTAAGATCATCATCTGAAGCGTCTCGCGTAATTTCTTAACATCCATGCTCCAGTTCATTTTCTTTGAGACTCTGTGTTTTATTGCCGCTGCTGCAGCGCGCTGCAGTCTATCAAAGAAACTCGACTCGACGAAGCATAAGTAATATTTAACGTTAACAACGCGACCAACGCAAAGATAATTACGAGAGATAACAAAAGCGAAAACCACATCAAGTGGATATTTTCGGCAGAAATAAATCCTTTTACAGTATTTAATTGAAAACTTAAAGACAATAGAACGATGATAGATACGAGTTTTGGTAAGGCGGATAGTGCAGCATACGGATGAGCATTTTTGCGCCTGGCACGTAGGCATACATATGTACACCGCAAACTTTCCTGTCGGTCGTCGAGTGCAAAGTAGACAAAAAACAAGCAAGAAGAAACGCTAAAAACAAACAAAAACGAGTTCACGGAATGAGAATTGCGACGAACGACCGACCGGGACGAACTTTTACAAAGACGAAACTTTTCGAGCTAGTTTAATGTTTGTTTGTATACGTGTGCAGTATGTTGCCTACGTCTATCAGCTTTATTAGCTGTGTAGGCAACACAAATCACATACATGAATGGGAAAAATGTAAATAAATAAAATCTGTTGCACTGGAACTTTTGTTGGCGTGTGTTTCACGGCACGAACGATATTTTCGCATTGTTAATTCAGCGTTAAGTCCTGATTTTAACTCTTAACAACCACCTGGATGTATGCGCCGTGGAAAAGTTGCAGCCGCAAACTTTTAAATCGTTAATTTAATGCGCCACACTGCAAACTATTATAAAACTATACTTAAACACGGCATAATTTTCGCGTTTATCTCACGGGGAAACTTTTTCTAATTATAAAATTGATTCAGACAACAAATTTAATTGTCCTGGTAAAGTTTGGGATGTAATTTAAATAATTTATGCTCCAAAAGTGTAAAACTAAATGATAGCGATTTTTTTGTAATTTAATGAGAGTTTTGCGAGTGGTTTAACGTCGCCGCAAGGAAGTACGCTATTATTATTAAATAATGGCCAATGAGGAATTAAAATGCCGCCGGCGCATATCAAATGGCGTTCGCGAGCATGCATTGAGAGCTGTTTGAATCCGGGGGAGAATACAGTTTAATCGTTTTCCACTTTCAAGACACACTTCATGCGGCTGCCATGGTGCCATATTCAGATTGTTAGCTTTTATGAACTTTCATAGCGCGAATTTATTGCATCGGCTATAAATGTAGGTAGTACGCGCAATATAGGCAACCAAATACACAGCGCGCTATATAATGAAGGAGTGAAGTGAATGTAAATGAGCGAATTATGTTTGATTAAAAAGAAAAGAACTCTGTACTATTGGCGTTTTCAGCTCATCCAATTCGAATTGCACGAATCGATTTTCATTTTGCATAATTACATCCCCTACCTACTTTTGTTCGTGTTTCGTTTTCTCGAAAACATTTACATTTGACACAACAGCTCGTAACACGCGTCGTAAATTTTAAGCGCGCGAAGAAAAAGCGAAAATGAAGTGAGAATACAAGCGAGTTGCTGCTGCTGGTGCAACTCAAGGGAAGACTCGTAAACAATCGCGTTATAAATAAGATAACTTTTTATATTTGCTCATTTCTCAAGTTTTCTTTCTCCGGGCGCAGCGTTTCGACGTTTTCAAAACGCGAGTTAAACTTGTTTCGTTCTTCTTTTCGCTGTGATTTTTATAACTCCTGTTATACCGAGCGTGCAAAGTGCAATTTTTAAGCTCGCGCGCTGTGTTCGTATTTTTCATCCGCGCCGGAAGAAAAACAATGGAAACTAGGAAAAGTTTTAATGTTGCAAATGCAGCTCGCGCGCCCGTCATCGGAAAATGGCCGGAAAATTTCCACGTCCACGTGAGCATCGACAGCGCGCACGTAAAAACTTATGATTCAATTTAAGTTGTGGAAATATTTCGCATCGAAAGTTTTAAATCTTCTAAATGCTTCCATATAGAAGTTATATTGTGATATAAAAACAATAAATCACAAAGATTTCTTCATGAAAAAAGAAGACAATAAACAAAATTTCATTCCAGCCAATCTTTGTTTTGTGATGGCCGCCATGTCATGTCATTGAAACATGGCGGCCGACGCCAATCGGGTGAATCGAAGCTTATTTCGTTGAAGATCACAGCGCGGCATTTGTTTGCTGTTGAGCTGCGAGCTGCGATTGCAAGTTAAACCGATTATTCTTATTAAAGGAAAGAAAGGTCCTCGGCGAAGCGCACGGACGCACATCGTTTTTATTCGTCATTTGTTCTCGCGCGCGTTGCTTGTGTTGCCTACGTTGTCTGTGCGTGTTATTTATTTGCTCGATAAATATGAGTTTATTGTTATTGCGGCCATTCGAGCGATTTCTTTTTGTTGAACTTTGCGGCGTTGTAACTCAGGTATTTAAACGCGCAGAGGGTTGATTAAACTATTATTTGAAAGGGCATTTAAAGGAGAATTTACTCGTAAAATGATAGTTTTTATAAACTTAAGAATTTGTATTTTATAAGCATAAAAGTAAAAAATGTTTTTTGTAATACTAAAATTAAAATTGTTTATAACTTTTAAAGTTTAAGAGATACAGGCGCCATTTTTATTTTAATTAATAAATATAAACTATTTATATCATATTAAAGTCTTAAAACGTTTAAAAATACACGCATTTCCTCATAATTAATTAAAAACGTTTAAAATTAACGCACAAAAGAAAATCAATAAAGATTTCGCCACCTTTTCGTAATTATTCCGAATTAGATTTCCTTTATAATTGAATAATTCCGTTGTGCTTTCGTGCCGACAGCTCACACACACCTCAGCCGCGTATTCTTTGTAAGTTTATGACAAAGCCCCGGTTTCCAAGGCTCGAAATACTGAAATTATCTTATCGCATTATATACGCCGTTACGCTCTTTTGAGCTTTTAGTTTTAATTGCGTCTGGAGTGTTTTCCATCAACACCTGGATTTCCCAACGCATAATTTCCTACATTTCTAAAATTCTCACACACGTAGAATTAATATTAAGAAAATTCGTGCTGTGCGAAAGTTGGAATTTTCGGCGTTTCACGCGGAGGGGTTTGTCCCCGTCGCAGAACGTGCGCGTGAGTCATCCGGGGACGACGTCCCTTCTCGTTGCCGTCGCGGCGCTCCCTAAGGATTGATGTGAGCGGTCGCACACGCACTACAATGAACGAATGCATTGCGATACATTTATTTGCGCTCCCCCAACCCCCGACTATTCATTCATTTTCATTTGTGACTTGAGAAATAAAATTTGTTTTGTTCACAAACAATAAAACAGAAAATTTACTACAATTTAAATAAATTCTTCTTACTTTTGATGATTTCACGTTGGTAGTTTCGTCCAGGTACGTCTTGATGACTTATTTTTATTTTGGTTAGTCGACACTTGTTTCTATACGACGGCGTGTAGGCGAATAGAGTGTTTGGGGTGGTGCGTCGCGACGCGCTCTCCGAATGCACACTGAGTTGCGGCGCGCCGAACGCGCGCGTTTATATAAGCGCCGACGCTTTTCGCGAAAAGTTTGCGGAGCGCGCGCGCATTTCCATTTCCACCAACAGTCAATAAGGACCAACATAAACCAACATCAACTAATAAAAATTCATTTTATTGTAGCCAGTGCTGAAATATTTAAAAGTTGTATGTATGCAACCAAATGTACAAATATTTACGGGTTATAAACTATGAGGTCAACATTTTTTAGTATAAAAACATACGTTTTACTGATGTGATAATAATTTTGCGCTGATAACAAATTTTTGTGTAAATAAACCACGAAAATACTTATAATTAGTTGCTAGAACATAAAAAACACTAGTTATCTTTGATAATTAACATTTTTGCGTGTTTTCAAAACACTTTGTATAATGAAACGTGCGCAAATCGCGCATATGTCTTATCAGAAAATTGCAGGCTCATTTTTAATGTTGCTTGTTTATTTTCGGTCTGAGTTTTTGTTCCAGTTTGTAATTAAACATAAAATCCAACATATGTTCTGCACATCTATTAATATTGTTCAAACAAACAAAAATATAACTGTATTTTTGGTTGTATATGTGTAGGAAATTAGATTTTTTGGATTATTTTTGAAGTTTTCTGTTATTCTTGAAACTCCCAAAGAGGTGAAAGCTCAAGCTTTTGCTACTAACGCTAGACGACGCTACTTGTAACAATTACAGTATTACAGTAAAAATTTATCAGCAAGTTAAAGATTTAACGATAATCTTACATAATTCCATATGAAATTAAACGTATATGTATACTACAATTAGTTACACTGCTCTTATCTCAATTTTGGTTTGTATTCCGCTTGCCCCCTCTGTGACATTTCCCACTTTCGCACACACACACATTTTCGTTTACGTTCAATCGGTACACCAATCGTCGTTTTCACTCAGTTTATTCCTGTCAGTTGCCTGGTTCGTTTGTTCATGAATGAACACTGCATCGAGTGTAAATATCAACAAAAATGCCTCCAGCTTACCAGCACCGATCGAAATTAGAAAGTTCGCGTGAGCCATTCGCGAAATTGTAACTTTTTAATGACTTAACGCGCCAATTGTCCCGCTTCGGTGGCAATATCTTGGTCATTCATTCATCATTCATACATAATTTCTACCAGCTTCAACTGTGAAGATGTCTGCAGGTTTCGGCTTTAGTCGTGAAGCAATTCGAGTGAAAGTAAAGGTAATTACCTCACAATTCACAACGAGGTTAATACAATACTAAAATAATATTATTACATGTATTGCCAAAGAAATATGAGGGTAATGCACCGCCAGAGCATCGCAAATTCAGCGTCGATCCACAAATCACTTCGTTTGAAGTGCTGCACAGTATTTTGGGTAAAGCATTCGACATGAAGGGCGATTTCACGATTTATTATCGCCAGGTTGACTCGGCTGGCAATGAGACATTTTCGCCACTGCTATCTGATTGGGATTTAGATGCTGCATTCCTCAAAGCTCACAATGCTTCATTGCACAACAATAGTGAGCCATGTTTATGTCTTCGAGTTGATTTGAAAACTTTTGAGGAGTGTGTGGATGAATGGGAACCAAAGAACGCCAACGTGCCGATTATCACACAAATTCGCAATGCCAATAGTGAAGTTAAAGCTTCACCAAGACTGCATGGCATATTTAATCAAGTACCAATCAATTACATCATCAATTTTACATTTTATATTATCATATAACTAATTTTAGATGGGTAAAACATTCAATATAGTCAAAGGTGCGTTTAATTTCGGCGATGAGAGTCAATCACTGCAACCACCTCGTCCGCCATTAAGCGACACCGAATTTCGTCGGTACCTGGACCCTGTCGGTCAAATATTATACGCGAAACAGCTGCGTTCGGAGATTTACCTAGGTGGAATTGATCCTAGCCTAAGGAAAGTCGTCTGGAAGTTTATTTTGAATGTCTATCCGGATGGTATGACCGGTAAAGAGCGTATGGATTATATTAAAAAGAAAGCCGCTGAATATCTAGCGTTGAAAGAGGTTTGGCGTAATGCGATTGCGCAGGGACCTGTCGTTGGTGAATTGGCGTATACTACCGGAATGGTACGAAAAGATGTGCTACGAACGGATCGTCATCATCCGTTTTATGCTGGAAGCGATGATAATCAAAATATTGCTGCCTTGTTTAACATTTTAACAACGTAAGTAAAAATTCGCATGTATTATCAATGGAAATAAGCGACGGCCATTTTGTTTCCTATGCAGCTATGCCTTGAATCATCCGAAAGTGAGTTATTGCCAAGGGATGAGTGATTTGGCGTCACCTCTGTTAGTAACAATGGGCGATGAAGCGCATGCGTACATTTGTTTCTGTGCGTTAATGTCCCGTCTGAGTATTAACTTCATGATCGACGGTATCGCCATGACACAAAAGTTTACACACCTCGCTGAAGGTTTACTCTACTACGACCTGGAGTTTTATAATTACTTGAAGTCTCATCAGGTATATAATTCGACGTGTGATTGCTTTTTTTATGTGCAGTGATTGATGAATATCTTGTAGGCGGACGACTTATTGTTCTGTTATCGCTGGCTACTGCTCGAAATGAAACGTGAATTCGCCTTCGATGATTCACTGCGTATGTTGGAGGTGCTATGGAGTTCGCTGCCGGCGAAACCGCCGATTAACGAGCTGCGATTGTTTGATGTGAAATTCCAAGCGCCCACGATTGTTACCCCGCCGATATCTCCACTGGTAAAAACACCGCGTGAGAATCCCTATACGAAAGTATGCGCGTTGCGTAGACAGAGCAGTTCGATATCTCTTGTAAATTATTCGGCGAAAAAGGCGCAGCCTGTCAAACGTCAAAATCATAGTCTTGATGATTCGCTTTGTCGCAGTAAAAGTATTACGCTGGAAATTAAACCGAAACAGCAGAGTCTTGACGATAATGCTCTGCCGAAAACGTTTGAGTTTCCACCATCGGGGGAATTAGAGTTGTCGCCACGGGAATTACGCCCGCGGTCCGTTTCGCCATTGGAGCAAAAGTCCGACTCGGTTGTGCTCAACAATCGACTCAATAATAAAATAGTCAATAGTCGCGCAACGAGCACGAATTTATCGTCGAGTATGTCGAATTTACTCAAGCACTCCAAGCGCCAGGGACATTTTCGCGATCTGAAAGAAAAACTCGGTATTTTCGCTTCTCTAGACACTCTCGAACGAGTTAATTCCATTAAAGAGGAGAGCGAGAATAAACCACCGACGAAAATGATTAAAAACCTAAATGAGTTTTTAAACTTTGCGTCGGCGAATAAGAATAAAATTTCGGATAAACTGACGCGTTTTGGTAGTGTCGGAGAAAAAGACCGACCGAAAATAATGCTTACAAAATCAAGCCTGGACGATTCGGAATCGTCGAGTGCTGATAGACCTTCATCGAGATCCCGAGTTTATTCCTCAACGAGTTGTGAGGATACTTTCGATGAGTGCAGTCCGGACGACTCGCAGAGTTACTTCCCAATGACCACTTCAGTAACGCGCGAGTTGCGAATTGAATTGGAGAATTTAGACCGACAAGTATTCGGCAGTAGTTATACGAAACGATTGCTGGACTCGCCCAGTGAGTGTGAATGTGTTGCACCGAGTAAAATCGAACCGGTGCAAGCTGCTGATGAAAAGGGTAACGTGTTCGTCTGGGAGAATCCGCTGCATCAGCCGAGCCCGAACGTGACGAAAAACGAATTCGTTAACCCTGTGAGTGTAAACACACCGGATGAACAAGCAGATATTGAATATGACGCGGCGAAACAACCGGCAACTCCAAAACTGCATAAAGTCGTGCAGGAAAATGGCGTCAATTCATGCGAGGAGGTTTCCGAAGCGAATAATAAGAATAACAGTAGTGGTCTGTTGCCACCGCCGCACGACTTTGGCGGCGGTAATCCCTTCCTGATGTTCCTTTGCCTCACCGTGCTGCTGCAACATCGCGATCATATTATCGGTACTTCCATGGACTACAACGAGATGGCGATGCACTTCGACAAGATGGTTCGCAAGCATAATGTGACGAAGGTGCTGAATCAGGCGCGTCAAATGTACCAGCGTTACACGAAGCAGCATAATCTAGCTCAACAGAAGGTCGAGGATTGCTGAAGTGCGATTGCGGCGGTATCAGATGATTATCAGATCAGTTTTCTGTGATATTTTTGGTTGAATTTCGAAGAGGCTTACTACTTCTACAATAACTAGTGATATTTTCTCTTGGTATACATTCCAAAACTGCTTTTCGTTTAGAAAATGGTATTTATTTACAAACTCTCGTCACCAAATCGCGCGACCTAAGATAATTAACAATTGCACTATTACATTTATTGTTATGGAATAAAATAAGCATAGCAAACTCTAAATGCGAAGCCATTATTTTCACTTATCACTTGTGCATATTTCGTTAAAATACTGTTGATTGCAATAATTACGTTCGGATATGTTGCATGATTGCATGATTTGAAAAACTTTTAACTCATTATGTTACTTTCCATTGTAGGCCATTCGACACTGTCCAATTCTTTCGTCGATAAATGTTTTTTGACGATCGTTTGCAGCGCACAACGCGCCGCTCGCTCTTCGGTCAATTGCGTCGAGAGTAATTCCATATTAGACTCAATGTTTTTGATTTTTTGATGCAGACGTATGAGTTGTTCATTGGCGTTGTTGTTTTGTGATTTGCGCAAATCTGAAACTGCCATACTAGTAGTACATTTGTTTCTCTAGAGTTTATTATCTGACAAAAATCACAGTGTTACGTGTCTAAATATCGAGCAAACAAAGACAAAAATAGTAAAAAGACAAAGCACACCAATCACCACAAACGGAATAAAAGCATAGTGTTTTCGATGGATTAATCTAGGTGCTGTGTTTTGCGCAACTGGCGCAGCACAAACGAGCCACAGCACCAGGTGGAGGCACGTGGCGCGTGCGGGCGATAGTTGCGCGGGTGCAGCAGATGCGAGTAGACTGGTGGGCCGGCTGCGCCACCGCCGCCGCCGCCTCCGCCCACACTACCCAAGAAGTCGCCGCTGCTGCTGCAGCACCGCTGTGTTTTCTCCAGCCACTCATGCATTTTTACATTACCACCGGTCAATAGTTCCACTGTTTAAATCACCAACCACCACCACCCCCAGGTATAAAATGAAAGTTAAAAAATAAACAACATTAAATTAAACAGAGAACATGAAAATAACATAGGCCAAGTGAAGATATAACTTAGATTAAACAAGAAAATAGTTTTACTTACCGGAATTAACCGTGTTTCTTGACTTTGCCGAAAAGTAAGCTTCGACAACTTCCAAAATAAGCGCGTCGTCCTTGTAGGAGAACGATTTGCCGTTAGGACGATTTGACAATAGTGATGTGCACGGTCGGAAAGGCTGCGACGGTCGTAGACAATTCACCGACCAGCCACGATTACCCGGAAAAGAGGAAACGCGCGGTCCGGCGCTAATTTTGCCGCCTAGCCGCGGGTTGCCGTTTGTGGTCGCCACGAACCGCGTCTTCTAAAACAATACAAAACCAAACATTAACTTTTAACTCATATTACACATTTTACAAATACCAAAAAAAAGTTAATTTGTTAAATCATTCGGCAAGGGTTGCACTCATTAATCGCCATAGTTATCGAAAGCATAACGCAACACGAAACGCAATTTCGCACAACCCTTGCCTGTTTTCTTGCGGCTATCTTCGTAGATGCCCCGCACGACTTCAACGGGCAGATCGGCTTTGAGCCACCAATGCGCGTACAACCCAGAACGGAAAACATCACCGCGCAGCGGCGGCGTAACCAAATCACTCATCGACTTGCTTGATTGTAGAAAACTCCCACTACGCATCCCTGATAATTTCTTATGAATCTGATCGACGGATTCCCATGGCGGTGGTACAGGTGGTAACTCCTCGCTGGTAATTGATGATCTTGTAGATTCTAAAGTTACTTGTATAGCTGAAGTACGTGGTGTTGAACCAAATGGCGACGTGCAACGACATTGAGCTTCGAAAGTATCCGACAACACAGAATTAACTTTTTCTCTTGCAGTATCATTTAGATCATGTAAAGGAAACTCTGGTGAATTCAAAGTACAACTTCCAGCCATCCCAGAATCTGTAGATCTTACGCTAGGGCAATTCGATGACCAGTCTCCAACACTCGATCGTCGTTTGTAAATCTTATCTGAGTTAATGCTATGCTTCCGGAAGCCTATGTTTGTTTTATAAAATGATTTCTTTTTAAAACCAGGTGATGATTGTTCATCAGATCTAAACAACGTAGGTGGTTTGATCGGAGTGTTATTATCTTCTTCAATTTCATCAGTATTGTACAACAATTCAGCCAGCATAGCATCTGGTATTGGTAGAACTTTAGCAGGGATATCAATTGAGCTGGAATGTGTCGTAGTGGATGAAGACGTAGAAGATTCAGACACTTTACACTTCCATGCCAGATTATTATCACTGCTTGATTGTGGTATATACAAAGTAGTCAAACTCGAATGGTTAAATCTATCGGCAACCAGTTTGTTCGGACAACTTGATCTCACTTTAGGTTGGAGGTAATCCTCACTCGGACAACCTTTGTGTTCAATATGAAAGTTTTCATTAAGTATTGCGAGATTTTCACAGGCATAATTCGGAACTACGTTGGAACTTATGTCGCTTTCCTGTGAGATTTGTTGTAGAAGTTTATTATTATTAACTTTTTCAACTTCTTGTGTTTGTTCTGCATCGTTATCAATTTCAATATCATCTGTGTCTGTATCAGGAACACCATTAGTGATAAAATATAAACTGCTTGTGTTGGATACATCTGACGGCAACATCAGTTCTAGTTTTGCCGAGGAAGTTAAAACAATACTAGGTTTTTTCGTTTCTGGTTGCACTACTTTCGTCGGTGATCGATACTTCTCATATTTCTCCTCGTGATCAATCATGGTACCACTCTCCGGATTGTAATACCGGATATAACCAAACGAAGTGGTTGAATGATCGATAGCATTCTGTCGGGATAAATTACAACTCGTAGAATCTTCACTTGTGGACTCTTCGCACTCCTCACTGTCGCTGTCAGAAGCTTCTAACATGCTGTGTCTATTCTTAGAGCCTTTCCGCATGATGAAACATTCTGACCGATGTTGGCGACGTTTTACGTTCAATGACGCTACGTTTATTTTAGTTGTTTCCGGATATAGTAATAATTTCAGTAGTTTCTTGTTGATAATCTTCTGTTTGGTCATTTGCGCGTAGATTTTCGTCAGACCTGCGTAAGGCGCTGCTGGGGGATAGTATTGACAAGGTAGGGTGGGTATATAATCGTAAGAGGGTTTGTAACTTATAACGGACATGCGATTGCAGTATCCACGTTCGTTCAACTAGAATTTCAGACAAAATTCGCCCATAAATTCGTAAAAATATTAAATTCTACTTACATGTGGTGGTGGTTGTGGGACAATCTCAACTTTTGAAGGTAATGCTTTGTTTGTGATACTGTTGGTACGATTTGGATTTGATTTTCCCAGGATTTCCACCCAATGATTCGCTTCCTCGCGACTTTGACACACGGCGACGAACTTTTCGATCATGGGACCACTGATTTCGAATCCGTTCTTATACTGATCACTGTCCTCCAGTTTGATTACATTTATACCAGTCACGGGGAGTTTACCCTTTAGAAATTAAAAAATATTAGTTTAAAATTTAATTTTACTTAATAACCATAACATACTTCATATATAAACCCGCTAAGTCGATGACTAAGCGATAAAATCAACAGCGTTGAAGGAAATAGAATCAAATAACGATCGAGGTGTTGTGGCCCCACAGCAACAGAACCCATATAAATAATATCTCCTAAAGTGGCAAGGCTTTGTCCTTCCCAGCCACGAACTGGCCCGGTTATGATTTGCAATTCAATTTCTTTTTGTCTACGTGTCGCTTCACAACTCGCCTCCATTTCCTTGTAAACTGCAACTGATCTTTGGATATCTCCTCGATCAGGGTGACAATCTTCCACGTGTCGTTCCACTTCCAATAACATTCCGGAATATTTCGCTAGACGTCGAAATGGTTTGCTTAAACCAGTTGTCAGAACAAGAACACCCGGACAATTTGCACCGCATGATTCCATGTACTTCATTAATTCCTCACGGTATTTGTCTAAGATACAGACGGCTTTCGGATGCAGTGAACGATAACTCTGATGGACAATTTTCATCCGCGGTGCGTAGTTGAGGAATATTTTGCCGATGCGTTGATCTTTGTGTGGCTTTTGGTTCTCGGTCTCGATCAGTCTTAAGAGTTCTTGATGTGTGTCCAATACTTCCAGGAAGTTTCCAGTTAATTGTTTATATTCATCAGTGTTGAGACTAAAATTATCTTCAAATTATAACCTAATATTTTTGATTTTTTGCGTTTTGACTTACATTGTACTTTTTTCTAATGGTATCAAAAAATTATTGAGTAATCCAAGTAGTTCAGTAACATGGGCTCGCTCTGAATCCAGTAAATCTTTATAAACAATTGACAAGTTTTGTATATCTGGTTGTAAATTGCTCAACTGTTGCATGATACTTGGATCTAAAAATCATCAACATTTATTAGTTAAATATCAAAATAGAGGTTTTATTGATGTACCTTTAATCTCTCGAACATAATTAACTGGAAACCATCCTGTGACATCTCCCAGTGTGCCTTCCCACCAGCCACCATCATCTTTCTGTGTAATTGTGATGAAATCCCCTTTTGGAAGCACAACTGCAAGATTGTTTTGATTTTTGATTTAATTTTCGTGTTATTTATAGTCAAGTGGCTTACCTCATCATTGTTACTGCCTTTAAAGCTGTAGAGTGCCTGCACGGCAATCGGTTCAGTCATTTTGCTAGCGTTGCTTTGCAGGATAAATAAAATACTATATTAGTGATGCTCGATTCACAATACGCTGCGGATCGGAAACTTGTCTTGACCATGAGCTGGAGGAGAAACTTTTCACACTGTCACATTCTTGGCAACAGGATGTGCGGGATGTGCCCTAGCCGAACTTGGCCCGCTGCCAGGAATATTATAAGAAGAGCGGACGACGCTGTTTACCAAGCATCAAGGCAAAAAATGCGAAAAATTAGCGTGTGGCCACACAGCGATCAAATTCTACGCAATTTAATTAAGTAATTTTAGCTTACTTGTTTCGTTTTCAAAAGAAATGCTTTGACTGCTTGACTTAAGTTAAGCACTAATCGGAACCCTTCGTAGGTATTGTAGTAGTTGTCTTAAGCGACATGGTCAGAAGTCACTTAAGGCGTAAAACAAGCGACTTTGTACACAAACGCAAGCGCAGCAACCAAAATAGTACCGAGGCGCTTCTTGTTTAGTAAAAGTGAGTGTGCCTGCGACAATTCCGACGGACTGCTGAATGAATCACCCACAAATAATAGGAGGCTGCGATAATTATAAGCGCACTCGTATGAAAGCGATACAAGTGAATGAGTGAAATTATTATCGAATGGTAGGCAACCAATAATACATGCGCATGACCTTCAGTAAATTTCTAAAGTCAGATAATACACGTACTAAGGGTGCGATTCTGTGTTCACCACTTAACAAACGAACGTACGAAAGCTCCAAGACGCTTCGTACGGCGAAGTTATGGATCGGCCTTAAGTGGTATTCTGAGCGCGCATCTATATCTTTACCTAAAGTCAATCCCGCTGCACCCTAAAATTTGACAGAAAGCGCGCGAGTTTCAAATGTATGGGTTCTTCAATTATTCAAATATGCAACAAATATGTGTTAATACTTATTATTTCTATTTCGGTTCAATACTGACGTTTGAAAAGTCGCAATCAAAAGTTGTTATTGTTAATTGTTTTGATTTTTAAATTACCTTTGAAGAAACACAATCAAAAAATATAAATAATCTTTTATATGCTACGTATTTGGCTCATTATCAGCAATTACTTGTGAAAAATTGACAAAATATTTATCTCAAATTTATTGTTTTTAGGATTTTTTTTTTTAATTTGAAATTTTTGCTTGAAAACGTGGAATTTTGCTTTTGAAAAATACAGATACACTCTATGCGTGCAATTCTTTGTCATCTTCATCTTTTTTCACATCTGCTGAGCACACGGCTCGGCAAAATATTCCACTTACCAATTTCGATGAATAGGCAGACTGAGACAGCAGACGGCCGAGTGCGGTTGTGAGTGAGAACGAAGAGCTGCGGTAAGGCAGTTTCACCCGCGCCAAGAGAGCAGCGCATGCGTACAACATGTTACGAAGGCTATCGGCACCCTCAAGCTGCTCGAAAAATTGAGGCGACCCGAACCCTCCAAAAGACCTCCGTTGGGCACTCAGAATTGCAATCTGCGTTCGTTCGACAGTACGGCACTTCGGGTGCTGCTCAGAATAGCACCATTAAAAATCAACAAATAATCGTGTAACATTAAACGATCCGTATCAAATTTTGACTTGTTACTACTGATAATTATGGTGTGTATATATTTATCAACAATAATTAAAGGTAAAGATAGGATACGTTGATTTACAATGATGATTCATACGTTAAAATATGCTAAAATGGTTAAAAAACTTTGCATGTTCAAAAATCAGCCACAACACAAGTTTCCGTATTTGGATATTCAACCGTTTTTAGCTACAATACATAAATTACATTCAAATCTGCAGGCAACACCGTTGAAATTCAAATGAACCAATCACATGCCGAGTTTTGGCAAGCAAGCAGATTTCAACCAATCACGAGCGACCTCTCTGCTTTGACTCTTGTCCGCATGCAGCACATCGTTTATTCTACTCCAAACGAACAAAGCGACTCCAGACCGTTGCCGGCGAGTACAAAAAAACCGAACGGAAAGATTTAACACCATAATTACACTTATCGTTTACTTAAGCCTTTGTACTCATTGATAGTGTAGTGCTAACAAGTATCAATCAACAGGTTTCATTTATTTTCCGTTAAAAACGTTTGTGTTGCCAAATAATACGCGTCTTATTCTCAACGGATTTCTGGAGGATCAACCACATTTCAACAGGTAAATGCGCATTTATAAATATTAAAACCGCATGTCAATATTAAACAAAACAAACTCGTGCAGTCAGTTATCCGTCATCGGACGGATAACAGTTCCATTTAAATATATCTCAATTTCTACGTGTTTTGCACTGAATATTTTTGTTGCGTTGATAACACCTTATCATGTAAGTCTGAATATTTATACAAAAGAGTTTATCATAGATGTGTGTAAAAATGTATGAATCATTCGCATGATTGTGATCAAATGTGTTTTATTTACGTACCTAGTTGGATGTAGTATTTATGTAGAGATGTGTGAGGCTCAGCTGTAGTTGAGGTATTTTGTGCGCCCCCCACGTTCCCTTCCAACGTTCAGACGCGCACAAAGAGGCAGAGCAAGGTACATCGTGGTTCAAACGTGTTTTGGTCCAGTTCGAGTGCAACTCTTGCTGGAAGTCGTGCCCTACGAGGCCTGCAAGATTGAACTAGTCTGAGAATTCTTTGTTTTGTTTTGGTTGATTTGTGTTTTTGTGTGGAAACGTGAATAAAAGGTAAAATTGTTTAATTTTTATTAAACTACTCAAAAACTAAGGGAGATATAAAGAAACTGTTTAAGAATTACTTTTAATTCTTATAAATTTCAATTATTTATGAGTAATTTGATAAGTTTTAAGTATAATTAAGCTTTTTTCTTCAATATTTGAGTAGAAACTGCAATAAAACATAAAATTTATAGTTTTTCATCAAAAACTCAAAAATTAAGTAAAATACCACCAAAATTTTCCATCAAACTTCCTAAATTTGATTTATTTATGAGTTTATAACTACTTAAGTCACTTGCGCATGATTAATGTAACTTTACTTAACTCTTGGGTGTATTTTAATATTGATATATTCTCAACGCAATAGAAAGTAGCATGATGACACAATGCATGTTTATTTATTGCAGATTATCAACGATGGCAGATGCTCAAACAAGTCCCTCGTGTAAGTAAACACTTTTTTCTTCTTTCTCTCCGCCTCCATAGTTTTAATTTTAACGTTTGAACGCAAGAAACGGTTGAAAAGTAAACTTTACCAGCGGAAATTGAGCGAAAAAATATATACAAAGAGACTAAAAGACAAAAGTAATTGAAGGCCCAGCCTTTTTATCGTCGCAGACGAGACAACGACTTAAGTAGCGGGTTGTGTTGTTAAGTACAATAAAATTTAACGTCTGATTGGACAAATACAGTCGTGGATTAAAAATACACATATCAATTTGTTTATTTGATGTGTAATCATGAAATATTATATTAATAATTATTTAAAATTTCTAATTTTAATCATCTGGGGATTTTCGGAGTCTGCATCTCTAATTGAAGTCGATTTAAAACTTTCTACTAATCTCGTTAGCTAAACCTTGACCAATTTGCGCTAATCACTTTAATTTTCTAAACGGGTTATGCTCCTACACTGTGTTGAGGTTGGTGATTCATCGGTTCTTCCTTCAAATGTAAATGTAAATATAAATAAATCGAGATTTGTGATTTGGCTTTGGAGCAAGCAAGCCATTAACTTGTCTACGACGGGCATCTTCTCCGTGCGAGCGCTTTCTTTGTGAGCTTGGTTTGGCTTTGACCAAGATGGTCAAATGGGAAGAGTGTGAGTTTCCAAATAAGGCGCGTTTCGATGAACTTGATCCTGCCATACGCGGACAATATCTCATTTAACAACGGCTTCGCTTCGGCTGGAAATGTTTGTCAATAAATTTTAGGTGAAAAAATGTGCAGTGATGTTTTTTGCGGATGGCGCTTTATTTGTGTTGTAACCTTGTGGAATTTAAGGCCAGTGCCCTCGTTATTGCGAGTATATATCAATTATTGTTTATTTTGTATTTTGTATAGCCTCGTTTTAACGAAAAACTCTGTATAACGGAGAAATTTGTATTATTTGGTTGGTTTATATTAATTTTTTCTGTGTAACGCCGAAAAATATTTTCATTTCAAGCAATTTTGAGTTAGAATATTTTTTAAAGACATGACATCGATGGTAACATTTGAAATATTGTTGTGGTTATGCAACCCAACATACACACAAATTGCAATGCAAATTTCTATAACTTAAGCACGATTTTTCAGCTATTTTGTTGGGGTGCACATTGCGTTACAACAAAATCACTTAAACAAAACACAAATGAATACAACTGAGCGACGCGGAATTCATATTTAGACTTCAGGACATTTTTACCGACATTTTGCTAGAATAATTGAGTTTATAATCAGTTTTTAAAAGATTAGATAGATGCTAATCTACATAAAATCCCAAAATTTGCTTTTTTTGTTCCTAGATGTAGCGGCACTTCAGTAAATCGCGATAAATTGTATTTATATTTTATTTTGACATGAAATTGATTGAAAACATTCAGTATTTACCAGTTTCTAGTGATCTAGTGTAGGTAGATGGAATGAAAGCAGGAAAATTATGCATTGCGCATACGAAATGAACACACAGTCGAAATAAAGTGCAGTGCATTCACCTCCAATTTGCACTCGGTTACAATGCAGCACTAACGGCATGGAAGCGAAAACAATAAAAACAAAACAAACTTTTTACACTTAAAGCAAATCACCATTGAAATCATTCAGAATAAGCAAATTACTTCTATACATGCAATATACATTTATTTTATTCACCGTAAACTCTTATAATACTCTGTATATTTTTACAATTTTAAATATCATTTCAAAATGGCTGCTTTATAGCTATTACTTATTAATTTGATAGAATTAATGTTTAATAGGGTGGATATTTTTGAAAGTTTTTGTTTGTGTATAGTGGCGTTTGCGTGAGCATGCCGCGCGCCGACTCGACGCCGCCACTATCGACCGTCGGTGGTGGTTTGGCGGCGGCGGCGCGACGTCGCAGAAAAACGCCGGCAACCACACCTGCACACAGTGCGCTCGCCGCCGTTGTCGCGTGTGTTGTGTGTACTCTTCCGGGTGAGGTAATCCGAAATCAAAATCAAAACGAACCAAAAACACATTTTTAATCACAAAAACTTAACGGAATTTATTATTAAAATAATTTAATAACAAATCAAAATCATGATTATTGGGTTAATGCGCGAATCTGTGCTGCAGTGCTTTTGTCACACATGCAGGGCACCCTTGCCTGCAGCAGGTATGTTTTAAAAATTAATTTTAGATTAACATTTTAATGGTAAATCCAACAACTGATTAAAAAATAATTTGTTTGTTCATAAACGGAGAAGTTAAACCGGAAAACGAAACCGGCACTATCGGGAATCGATTGTTTTACTTTTTATTCACTTCAAGGACAAACAATTGTTGGGTTTACTAAAATGTGAAAAATGGAGAGTGAATGAAATTTATTGCAGACTTGTTGAGAGAGAGTGAATTTTTCTTTCGTCGGCACATTATCATTCATGGAAGTATTTATAATTCAAGACCGGCTTTTACTTTTTTGGTCCTTCTAAAGTAGTTGCTGATAGAAAGAAGAATAAGTTTCACTTGTTTTTCTACATTTTTTATTAGAAACTTGCAAAATTTAAGCAAAAATTTATTTGTTTGTATATTAGCCACTGGTGGTTACACAGGAATAAGGCAATTAAAAACCACTCCAGGGCTGATTTGTTGCCGCCGTCGGGGCGGTGGCGAAGTCAGTCAGTGGAGCCGGCGAGACTTCATAGATGAGTCACTGCTTTTATTTCCGTTTACATCGCGTAACTCAAGGGAATTTCTAAATTAGCTATGTCACAATTCAAATACAAACAAAATTAGACAAAATTTTCTATTTTAAAAATTTATTTTGAATGAATGAGTTGAGTTTTATTAAATTTCCTTACGTAAATTATAAAAATTTGCGTTTGTAGTACAACTACGCCAACAGGGTTTCGTCGCAAAGACGAAAACGAAACCACGAACTGCGCAACCTTCATCCGGGAAGAAAGTACAGTTTGTCAGTAAGTATTATAGTGTTTTCCACTGATTTATGTACCACCAGCAGGGAACAATTATGAAAATAGCCGGTATTAATTGGTCATACGCTCGATTACGCATGCAATTCACCCGAGACCACCAGGATAACACGTTACGCACGCGGTTTTCCTGATTCCCGGCGGTGCTCGCATGCCAGTTTATGGTAATTTTGGCACATTACATGTGCATGAATGCGTTCCAACCCGTTTCGGGGTGCTTGTTCCGTGCAATTGCATTTTTCGCTAATAAATCGGCGTGTTGTGCCGCCGCAATGCGGATTGTTTCACATTTCGCGCGAGCTAGAATCAATGGATTTATTACACTAACTCACTAAACCCTAAAACACCAGCCAAAGAGAACATTTGCGCAGTTGATAAGTCGTCAACGAAGGTGTCAGACATGCGTTGTGTGCACGCTCGCGGCATACCGAATTGATGGGGATTGAGGGGGCTGAGTGAGTGCTCTATGAGAGGGTGAGAGGGACCTTATTGATCTTCGCATTCACTGCTGCCGCCGCCGCCGCCACACAGGGCGAGTTACTACAGGCACTTGTTTTGCTTAAATAAAAACGCGGCGGTTTTTTCAACACTTGGTGTTTCGTGGACTTGAGACGGTCGGGCGTCGCATGTTACGTCATCCCCCTTGAACAATATGAAAACCACACACACGCTAGTCTTCACCAAGTGTTCGGAAATCGTTTTCTTTTCTTCCTTTAGGTTTTAATATAATATAGAAAAACGTGCTCAAGTTTTTTTTTTCAACCAATTCTTGTTTCCAATGGCGAAATTAAATTATTTCCTTGTTTCTGTGTTTAGCTACTGAAGTAAGATGCCAGGAGAAAACCCGTGGTGGTTTATGTTATGAGGTCATCCTCGGTGAGGCTGATGTAAAGGCCACGCCACCGAAACGTGCCGGTTCCCCGCCGAATAAAAACATGACCGTGCAGGAAATCGAAGAAAAACTGCGCGCGGCTGAAGAACGCCGTCTGCAGCTGGAGTTGAATAAGATTACAGCTCTCTCAGCCAAGATGCAGAAGATTGAGGATGCTTCCCGCAAGAAGGACGAGCAGACCAATCAGTTTATTCTGAATACACGCGAGGCGCTGGAAGCCAAGATGGAGAATCACGTTGGGAAGCGTGAGGCGTACATCACCGACCTGAAGAGCAAGCTCAAGGACCACATTGAGAATGTAGAAAAGACGCGTCTCACGCTTGAGCAGCAAACGGACGAGGTGCGCACCGCCATTGAAGACAAGCTCAAGACTGCTTCGGAGCTGCGCGATGAGAACATGAAGAAAATGATGGAGAGATTGAAGGATCACGTGAGTAACACGTTTTATATTGTTAAATATTGCATGTTTTATGTTGTTACAATCATCATCGCATTATTTATTGATCATTTGCACGCTTGTAATATTCTGCGATTAGGAAGAGCAAGTTAAACGTGTGCGCACTATCAATACGGAGAAACTGCAGCAGTTGGAGACTACCGTGCAGGAAAAACTTGAACAGGCTCAGAGCCGTCGTGCTCAGATGGAACTTGAGCAAAAAGAGAAGCTGCGTAATCACGTGAGTACACTTTTAGCACATCCAGGAATTTTAGCATTTCATTATTTTTCTACGACACAACAATATAGAACACCAGGCCGGTAGAAATCCAAACTGAAATCAAGTCCACGCTCGAGGACAAAATTTCCACTGTTTCACAGCACATTGAAACTAAACTTACTGTCGCCGAACAGAATCGTGTGAAGGAAATCCAACGCAAACTCGAAACCGCCAAGAAATATGTATGTTACACAAAGCACACACAATATTATTTTATATTTTATTTTTTATTCATATTTGACATTTTCGCGATTAGAATGAACGCACTGTAGAATTGAAGCAGAAGATGGAGACACTCATTTCGGAAAAGTCTACGAAATCCACACAAATTGAGTCCAAGCTCACCGCTGCCGAGCAGAAGCGAGAGAAGGAGTTGCAGAAAAAGTTGGAGAATGTCAAGAAAAACGTGGGTATATCACATTGTGCATGCAATTCATGTCGACATAATCATCAATTTAAGTGTTAGATTGATGTATTGTTGTTAGATAATATAAGGATGTGTGTTTTTAATTGATGTTTGTTTTGTAGGAGCGTCGTGCTGAAACTGTTCGTCAGAATAAGGCGAACATCTTGGCCAGTCAGCAAGAAGTGACCGCTTCGTCCGGTTAAACAATGAATCGTCAAGAGTACTTTACCCGCTGCATAGCAGCCATCTTGCAGCAGCAACATCTACTTATGATTAACAATAATAGCATTATCGATTAGTTGATCCTTTGATCACAAAATGGCGGGCGGATATGATTGCAAATTGATCTCGCACTGCAACCCGCTCGTCACACATTTTTCTCCAACTCACCACTCCTCACATTTTACGTAGCATTATTTTATTTTTTATATTATATTACCTTTGGTTTACGTCTAAATGGTTAACAAAATGAAAGAAACAATATTTGGTTGTGTCAATTAGTATCTTAACTAAAAATTCTCGGGATTATCGAACGCACTTTTAATTTCGATGTGTGCAGGCGGAGCGTTTGCCCTAATCCAAGACCAGCTAGCTTAGCCACGTGTGAATTTATATTATAAGCTTCGAAACTCCAGAAACGTTTCTTGCACCACCTATCATTAGTTAGGAAATGTAAAAAAAAAGAACATGAGAACAACCACACACAAAATGTTATATAAATACATATATCTATATTTTATCTTGGTCGAAATGAAAAATGAAGAAACTGAAGTGAATATCAATGCTCATTAAAAACAAGGTTTGATTGGAAGAGTTGAAGGATTGGATTGGTTGATGCGTCTTTTGTAAATGTCTGTAAAGTCGGTTTCTTCGCATTTTATACAAAAAAAATGTTAAAAAAAAACAAACAAACAAGATTACAAACCGCCGCTGTGCTGCCTTTTTAAGTGTGAACGATAAATTGAATGATTGTAAATGCATAAGTTAAGGAAACTAATGTAAAATGTAACAAAAATACGTGCTTTATTGCGGCGCGTGCCAATGTGCGAAGCGACACCGTTGGAAACAGTACACAGAAAGAAAGAAGCGCGAGAGTAAAATAGAATTGTAATGAATAAGAAGTGGGCGTCTATTTTGAAGTATTACGGTGCGAATGACTAGCAGCCTTAAGCTGAATGAAGAAATGTTAGCTACCGAGCGGTGTCGGCTTTGCAAGGAGGCAGCGCGCCACGCTTCTGTGATCACAATTTGTTTGTGTTGTTTCATTAACATGGAAAAACAAATAATGAGAAACATGTTTAGCTGAATAACTATTGTAGCGTTTATGTAGCCAGCTCCACATTATACTAACAGTTTCGTATGCTTTTCTTATATGAGAATAAATTAATCAAGTTTGGACACTTGATTCCAAAGACATATGACATGTATCGCTACGAAGAATTAAGGCGCCCTCTAAAGAGTTTAATTTATTGCTTTTGTTAATGGTTTTCTATTTTATAGGATCAACTTGGGTGCAACTTCAAAATGTAAGTAATGTGTTGTATTTTATTGAATGTTTATGTTAGATGCGTTCGCTAAGGTTGATCGTGTGTTGGTTGTCTACGTGACTACGACATTCGAGTTTACCTGTTTTGCCCTCGGTCGTTGCATCGAACGTATCGCAATACTGATAGTAACCGCGTGTTGTCGCCGTTAGCTGTGCACACGTAGTTCCATTCCGGTTGCCGAGTGTATCGCGCGTGTTCATCGCGACTAATTTAGTTTCTTCAGATCGTAAATAAGAAAAACAATGAATTTTCATTAAACAATCGGCGGTATATACCGGGAACGGGGTTTTGTATATGTGATTGCACGCGTTGAATGTTCAACAATCGAGAATTTATCGACGGAATATAAGTCGTGTTGGTCTACATGTGCACCGCGTGCGTGTCCATCGGCAGTCGTTTATCTTTTCGCATATAGGAAAAACTGATGTATAATTATTTCCTGCAGATAAACAACGTTGGTGCCCAGAAGAAGTTTGTGAGTGCCCCGATCCATGGAGTTTGCAATACCTATAGCGGTATTATTGGAGATGCATGTACTTTAAGGCAAGTCTTTACTACTACGGGAACTGATAGTCGCAAATTGTTTTCTTGTTTAAAAAATATGTATCTATTGTTTAATGTAGCCAATAAAACACAATGTATAATTATAATCTCATTCATGTTTCTTTGTGGTATCCTCTTTGTCGTTTTCAGTTTTCAATAATATGGCATATAAGTCTTATATGTGAGAAGCGGGTATAACATAACTAACTGTTGCTTAAATTTTGTTGTTGTTTTTAAAAACATGATAAAAGTAGAAACATAAATAGAAGAATCAAATATTAATAATAAAAACACTCGGTGGTCGAGTGGAGACATGCACCTGCTGGCATGCTAGCAGACACGGATCGAATCTCAGGTATGGAAGGCATTTTTCCCAAATATAAAAATATCAGGTGAAATTTGGGTTGCATATATAAATTGCAACGAAATATATGAGAAATTGAAATACAAGTGAAGGCAATAAGAGAAGTAAAAAAGTAAAAGGAGAACGGCCGCCCAACAGAGAAATAGAAGAATGAGAGTAGTAGAGAATAGGAGAAGGAAGAGAACAGAGGAGTAGAGTAGAGAAGAGGAGGAGGTAGAAGAAAGAGCACAGGAAGAGGATAAGATTTTTAAATTTTTAAGATATAAGACAGTCACTGCTTCGATGCGTCCATCGCTCCCGGCCCAACCTACAGCTACGATGTCTCTGCGCTTCATCCCCGAAATTATCAGGCATATCAACAATTTTTATGGTGGGGGATCACCCCCAGAGAGGGGGAACTCCTTATAAGGACAATCCTTATAAGGTCTTGTAAAAATATTTCTAAGTTTTAAGTCGCCTCAAGAGAGGTGACACTTAAAAATATTCTTACAAGTTCTGACCTATAGCTGAAATGAAAGATGGAGCACATAAATCATACAGGTTACCTTAACAATTTTTATAGAAGGGATCATCCCCTGAGAGAGGGAACTCTCTTACAGACCTGTACCTGAAATGATAGAAGGGGTACATTCAACGCATAAGACATACTATTTCTTAACATTTCTTTATTAATACAAGTTTAGTACCTTAACAATTTTTATAGTGGGATCATCCTCTGAAAGAGGGAATTCTCTTAGAGACCTGTGCCTGTAATGATAGAAGGGGTACGCACAAATCAAAGAAATAAATATATCTTACTATTTATTTATTTACAATAGAATACAAGTTTATATTTTACAAGTCAACAGAATACGTGCCGCCATATTGAAGCAGGACTTACGACGCACATGCAAACAAGTACTACTTTGTAAAGTTCTACCGGGATAATGAAATTAGCAAATAGCCTATTTTCTATGTGATTGAAAATGAAAACAAATATACAGGGTGTTACAAAAGGAAAATTTACAGTGCAACCCAAAAACTATTACTATCACTACAAACGTCGCTCTTTATCACTAGACTATCAGGAAAACTAATATACAGGGTGTTTCAGAAAGAAAATTCAAAGTGCAAAAAGGAAAATCCTAAAAACAACAGTTAAAGCAAAATTTTCACTGACACAAAAGAAAACTAATGTACAGGGTGTACCAGAAAGAAAATCCCAAATTCAAAACAATGAACATTCAAAACATATTAACATCATGACACGGAAAATTTATATGGAAACAACATTATTTTATAATAAAGAAGAAAATAAAAACATTATTTTAATATAAATTAAAAAATTTCACCCAAAAATGATCGGGAAATTAAGCAAAAAGGTGCTAGAAAAGATAACAATTACATTTTAATATATTGTGAATATATATTTATTAATTATTTAAACCGACGGATGAAGCATCATCATAAATTGATAGAATATCCGATGGAAAACATCTAAATCAACAGACGGCAAGCGACGGCGCGTGGGATTACTGTCTTTAAATAAGATAAAAATAACTAGGTAATTCTTTGTAAATATTAAGATATACGGAGACTACAAAAACGAAGAACTATTCACCGTACAAGATTTTATTACGTCAACAAGAGACTTCTTAATTTAATGATGCTAACAATTGAAATTCGATTAAAAACGTTCACGTGTTCAGCGAAAGGATGACCGAGCCGACGGCCGACGGCAAACTGAGCGCGGTCGACCACATGAATATTGTCTTTTAATAATCCACAGATCATTTTTAAAACCGTCTTTGTAATAATTAAATCATGCATGTTATTTTCGGAAACGGGACTAATAATTCTGATAGGAATGGAACCACGTGTTTGTAATTTGCAAGATAATACAAGCAAAATTAATATCCCTCAAATGGAATAATCAATTTTAGTTACACCGCCTTAAGTTTCCGTGAAAAAAAATTATTACACACGTACCTTTGCATTGATGAGGAAATTCTATATCCTGTAATATATTCTACCAACTAAAAACTGGCGTAGGGATAAACAAACGCATATTTCTTAGTTAAGAAGACTCTAACCGCGACAAATCATTAAACAAAACCACTGCACATGCCCGTCCCGAATATTTTGCTGATGGCCGAAAGAATACACGTCGATTAAACCAATTAAAACCTCAAAACGCGTGGCGATTAGAGAGACACGTTCGCGGACCACGCGGTAAAACGACTGCCGTGTACACCGCGCGTAGCCAGGTTCAAGGCAGGTACGCAGCGATAACACGCGTCACTCTAACAAAACAGTTGTTTATACACAAACGTACTGATAAACACGTAGTTGAGAATACTAAACTAAAATTTACAATATTGAAATAGCACATATACACGAAATCTACTGTTACTTTCAATATGTATCGGCCTAAGAAAATTCCTAGCGCATCGAGTACAAGTGCGTATACGTGCGTATACACACAACTATCATTATAACTCGCGTTACGGAATTTTCTCGCAATAAATTTCGATACAGGGAAATTAAGAATTAAATTCCGCATCTGGGAAAATTATTCCGAACTAAGTTTGAAACCGCGTTCGCGAGTTATAACAAAAAAACTACAATTCCTAGCGCAACGAGTACAAGTACGTATACACACAACTATCATTATAACTCGCGTTACGGAATTTTCTCGCAATAAATTTCGATACACGGAAATAAAGAATTAAATTCCGCATCTGGGAAAATTATTCCGAACTAAGTTTAAGACCGCGTTCGCGAGTTATAATTAAAAAACTACAATTCCTAGCGCAACGAGTGCAAGTACAAGTGCGTATACACACAACTATCATTATAACTCGCGTTACGGAATTTTCTCGCAATAAATTTCGATACAGGGAAATTAAGAATTAAATTCCGCATCTGGGAAAATTATTCCGAACTAAGTTTGAAACCGCGTTCGCGAGTTATAATTAAAAAACTACAATTCCTAGCGCAACGAGTGCAAGTACAAGTGCGTATACACACAACTATCATTATAACTCGCGTTACGGAATTTTCTCGCAAAAAATTTCGATACAGGGAAATTAAGAATTAAATTCCGCATCTGGGAAAATTATTCCGAACTAAGTTTGAAACCGCGTTCGCGAGTTATAACAAAAAAACTACAATTCCTAGCGCAACGAGTACAAGTACGTATACACACAACTATCATTATAACTCGCGTTACGGAATTTTCTCGCAATAAATTTCGATACACGGAAATAAAGAATTAAATTCCGCATCTGGGAAAATTATTCCGAACTAAGTTTAAGACCGCGTTCGCGAGTTATAATTAAAAAACTACAATTCCTAGCGCAACGAGTGCAAGTACAAGTGCGTATACACACAACTATCATTATAACTCGCGTTACGGAATTTTCTCGCAATAAATTTCGATACAGGGAAATTAAGAATTAAATTCCGCGTCTGGGAAAATTATTCCGAACTAAGTTTAAGACCGCGTTCGCGAGTTATAATTAAAAAACTACAATTCCTAGCGCAACGAGTGCAAGTACAAGTGCGTATACACACAACTATCATTATAACTCGCGTTACGGAATTTTCTCGCAATAAATTTCGATACACGGAAATAAAGAATTAAATTCCGCATCTGGGAAAATTATTCCGAACTAAGTTTAAGACCGCGTTCGCGAGTTATAATTAAAAAACTACAATTCCTAGCGCAACGAGTGCAAGTACAAGTGCGTATACACACAACTATCATTATAACTCGCGTTACGGAATTTTCTCGCAAAAATTTCGATACAGGAAATTAAGAATTAAATTCCGCATCTGGGAAAATTATTCCGAACTAAGTTTGAAACCGCGTTCGCGAGTTATAACAAAAAAACTACAATTCCTAGCGCAACGAGTACAAGTACGTATACACACAACTATCATTATAACTCGCGTTACGGAATTTTCTCGCAATAAATTTC